TAAGGCCTTAACTTTTGTACTTGTGCATGTGAAAAACATGCACGTCCCTTTGTGGAAACATAAACCTCAGTTTCGTCCCGTCGACGATATGGGGATTTATGCAAGATCAAGGCAAAGTCTTGTGAAAATGCAAAATGCTGTTTTGGAAATGGAAACCATTAATGACATTAAAGACATCTTGGCCGTGGGGGCATGTCAGAATGGCTGAGAAATATGCTTCTTTCTGAATTCATGAAAGAACTTGAAATTCCAAAAAGTCAAACTGAGACACACCCGTCCCTTCGCGAAATCAGTGACGACATTTGCCATTTCAGAGGGGGGATCTCTTCCCGAAAAATCTCCCAGCGAGCTTACGTGTCATGATTCAGCAGGCTGTCGGCCAGTCCCTTGAAAGCGTCTGGGTCTTGGGGTGAGAAGTACCCTTCCCTGATCTGGTCGATTGCTTGCTTTAACTCGGCATTCCGCTCGTAGTACTGTCTGGGGTGGTACCTATGGAGCCATGAGGTGGGAAAATGTGAGAGCAAATCAACCTCCTAGAGTCTGCAAGAATCCTTGTTAAACCATCCGAGATTACATCAAAGTGTAGCCCTTGGCATAACTTCAAGGTGTAGACCGACGCATGATTATCTGATTTTCAATTCTATCCAAATTGAAGAATTTACAGAACACCACATGATTACTATATTCTGCCATCAGTACATATCTTGTCTGAGGTGACAAAATTTTTTCACAATCATTAAATCCTTTCTTGAAGGCCCAATGAGGAAGCCCTCACGTGACATCTTGTCTAACAAGGCTAGAAAGGGCTGTCTCAGCAAATAAATCTGCAAAATTGCTAAGGTTTGTAAACACCGTGGCTTAGGACTCAAACTAAAACAGTTCAGGTGCTATCATTCAACCGATGCCTATATCTTCTTCCCAATGCACACAGTACAGTGTTCTTCAACGACCACGGTTGCACTAATTCGCAAGACTGCAAAATTGTACATTTGGCCATTGGCTGTATTTCTCGTTAAGTGCGCGGTCAATGACAGCTGGTTCAATGGCTTGCTCCGTATTTTAGTTAGAAAAGCTGACTGCCTGTAACCAGCCTCACCCTTTCTGCCTGAGCTCCTCCACCTGTGGCACCGTCATGCCAAAGATGAAGATGTTGTCGGCTCCCATCTCTTCCATCATCTCCACGTTAGCGCCATCCAGCGTACCGATGGTCAGGGCACCGTTCAGCTGCAGGAATTCAAGACAATGAAGGAGGGTTCCGATTTCCACAAGGGTCACAAACGAGAATTGGTTACCAGTGAAATGTTGCAGTTAATGACTGTGTATGTTGAACTCCTGTCCTGTTGACAACTAAAAGTCACATATGCTCAATAACCAACAACACAAATACAATACTCGAGTACAGTAAAGTTAGTGAACGTTCACAAGCATACGGAATACTGCTCAAGAGTTTTGCCTGAGCAGGGACTTTTTTGTTCTCACCATAAATTTCATGTTGCCAGTTCCGGAGGCCTCGGTTCCCGCCAGCGATATCTGCTCTGATAGGTCAGCGGCCGGGATCACTGTGGACAAAATTTGAAAATTATCAAGGCAAACAAAGAAACTGACGGGGACGGGATATGAAGCTGCGACCTTTGACTCTACTGACCGAGCTAGCCAGCTCTGTGTAGATGGTTCCTCCAATAGACCATATTCATGGCGGACACCATTTCAGTCAGATTCCCCAACATAGTTTACTCATTTGAAAACATTAAATTTAAAGAACCAGACTCTCTTCTACGATTTTATTCTGATCCCCCAAATAACCTGGTACCATCCCATTAAGGGTTTCAAATGTATAAAGTAAGTTCAGGAATACAACTGAAATTGGGTCTCCAGCGGATAGGGTCTATCGTCACTATCTTTGTTCAAGGGTGCTATTCACAAGCCATATAAATATAACCTGTACACCGTAAAATGATTGTGGCTAAAAAGTCGATAAAAATGTACACTCAGACTGGAAGTGTTCCATTACTTTTTTTATGACTTCACTTATTCCTGGCAAATGTGCTTGTCCATAGCTCATCTTCCTTAAGTTTGTTCATACGTGTAAACATAATGCAGAAGCTCTGATTGACAAGGAATTTTGACCAGGAACAGTCTAAATTAAATAGTTTTCATTCAAGGGAATGGAAAGGTTTGACTTCAACTGTAGAACGGGATCAAGCTTGAGCACGAGGTCATAATGCATGCAACACTAGCACTACTGCAAACACAGGAACTCATCATTAAAGCCAACAACTGGTGCCAAGTACACATACATGTACATGTACGCTGTAGTTAAATTACAAGTAGCAGGGTGCGATGCATGTAAATGTCTGAAGGTCCTTGAGGCATCAGAAAGTCAATGGCAACAGGATCAGCAACTAATTCAGAGACACTGACCATGCCAAACTAACACAATAACCTCATATTTTTTCTTTTTTGTTAATTAACCCTAACCCTCCTCAATCCTCCAACAGGTGAAGGATTGAGGAGGGTTAGGGTTAATGGAAACACTTTATTAAGGCCATTTTCCAAGTTCCACTTTTATCTCAGACTTTCAGATACGCGTGCATCTTATTGGGCCCTTAATTACTACCTTCAAAAATTACCGAAACAACCAAATGATAATGCTCCAAACTCCGACATCGTGTTTACTACGCAATGCGATCTTCGGTAACAGGCAATGGAGCAGAATTAAGATACAGGATCTTGTTTCAGGGAGCAGAGTGCACCGATTTGAAGTCTGAGCCCCTGGCAAAGACAAATCCCCAGCCTTGAAATGAGCTCCGCTACCTTTTTCAGCCAGGGATACACGGTAGTTCTCCAAGAAGACCACCTTGAGGCGATCCCCGACGATGGGGTCGTTGTTGATAACCTGACCGATGGAGTTGATCAGGTAGATGATCTGCTTGGCGGTGAAGTATCCGGGAGCTGCCTTGCCTCCGATCATGACTGTGCGTGGCACAAAGGACCCACCGGGGTTCTTCTTCATCCCTGGCAAGAACCAAAAAAAGATTATCTGTAGTATGGCCATCTTTAGGTTGGACATTTTGTTACATGTGATGTGGTCTGCGTGATGAGACTTGGAAATTCTTAAAGAGGGTTTACTGGTATTTACAATACCAGTTGTAATCTAAGTGGATATTCTTTTGAAAAATTATAATTACTTAAAGTTTGAATTTGTCAACTTGTTAAAAGAGTAAGAAAAGAAAAAGGCCTTTTAAGCATTGAGTTTTGCACTTCAAAATATCAAAGATTATTTTCTTCTGCAGAGACACTTTTATTCAACAAGTCTTAAAGCATATTCACATACATTTTTTATTACAAATAAGTAATTCCAGAAATTAAAGGTCCAAAAGTGTGACATTTTTGTGTCTCTGTTACATTTGACCTTTGTTATTTGACATGGAAATGTCACCGGAATCGATTTCAAACTACTATTTGTTTGGATGGTAATTTGCATTAATTCATCACTCTTGGAAATTAGAAAATGTGTTCTGAACTTACAAAATCATATGTCAGGTGTGACAGGGACACGAAATAAAAATGGACCCCTAATTTCTAGAATTACCCAAATACAAAACCGAAACAAAAGCATTTTCTAGCATTTTTCTCTACTAAAATCTTCACCAAGTTCTGTCTCTTGCCAGAAAACAAAGCATAAAAAATTTAAAGCCGGGGATTTTTGAACAGGGTCACAAACAACCAGAAAGATCTTTCTCGGGTCAGGAGCCCAAAATACAGTAAGGCCATTTTCCAATACTCAACTTGGGCTCTGTCTGAGGCTTCAACTGTTTTTTACTTTGTGACCTTGAGGTTGTAAGCGCAATAGTAAGTCTGATAGTGCCACAAAACATCAAGTGAGATGCAAAAGAGCCAAACATTACAGTATTTCAATTTAAGTTAAACGCTTCCAGCCCACAATCAAGAATTGGTTTCCTACACGAAGCCTGAGACGGAGACGAAGTTGAGTATTGGAAAACGGCCTAGGTCACAACAAGAAACAGCAGAACTGAAATGATCCTCATTCCTTCACATGTATGCCATGTTCCAAAGTGGATGTCAAAGAGAAATCTGTATCATTTCCTCCGATAAAATGGTTCATCTTTGTAGTCTAAAAGTGACTTAAAATACTAGTATCATGCTTCCTGCAACAGGTGCATTTTTTTGTATTTCTTGTGTCACACTGTGCCTCTTTAAAAGTGGATAAAAAGGAATCTGCATACAACCTTATGACCTCCATGCCGGAACAGAGGGCGTATTTTTCACACAAGATAGTCCTTGTGGAGGGGAAACTGGGCATGCTTGCATAGGTTCATATACATATGGCATGGGATGCACTGAAACATGCAAGCAATTTGGATGGGAATAAGGTACCGGCAGAAATCTGAAAACCAATCCCAGGACTTTCCCAGGATCTTCAAGGACTAGAATATGACAATTTTGATAGCATTTCATGCCATTCTGCAGAGGGAAATTGTTTGTTTACTGCTATAAATGGGCACAGACATAGCCTGTACGATTATTCCGTCATTACATCAAAAGTGGCACGCAGCCCATCAAAAATCTTGATCTCCGTGACTTTTCCATGACTAGTTTTCCTCCGACAGAACGATTCAATAACATCCTACATGTGATTGCTTTCCTGATTTTCGATGACTTACTGTTGTACACGGTGATGATGTGCAGGGCGTTCATCAGTTGGCGCTTGTATTCATGAATTCTCTTGACCTGGACATCGAACATGGAGTTGACGTTGACTTCGATGTTGTGGTTCTTCTGCAAGTAGCTGGCCAGCTTCATCTTGTTCTCCTACCAAAAAAAAACCCCAAAACAGGTGGATACCACTCACGCAAGCTGTATCAAGGTGCAAGAGGTGCTTGTGGTGCTGTGCGACCTTCCAACAAGAGCCAAGTCAGGCCACCTCCTGGCTTGCATGTACACCATAGCCAATGCCACCATTTGCAACTGAATGTGCACAAAGAACATTGCCTTCGTGTGCCAAGAAGGAAAAACAGCCGAGTTTAATAGGAATCATGGTGGCACTGAAGTGTCCATCTGTGACAGAAATATTTGCCTTGAACCACAATGAACACAGTTGTGTGAAAGGTCAATTTATAACTGAATCGAAATCCACCAGGCTCTCCCCGCACCTAGACAAGTCAATATTGCATGCTAATGAAACAAACAGCAAGTGTCACCAACCCACATGACAAACGTTTTACTTTATCGATTCCTCACACATCCTCTCCTGCTTCAACCAGCCATTACTGCTGAATGACTGACACACCCAGAGTTTTGTGCCCTCTACCAAAGTTGCAAATCAATTATATTTTGCTTTTTTTGAAGGATTCGTGTGACTCATGCACTCATTTGGTTCATACATGTGTACAATGTTTTTGTCTCAAATCGCCTGTTAATGAACAGCTGACACGCACCTACAGATTACACCTTATGACCTTCAATGCACTTTCCCTTTGGGAATACCAAACGACCACACTGCCTGTCCTGTCCGCATAACAAACTTAATTAATAGAAGGGTAGAGTAAGAGTTGTTAACCCTAACAGTCCCAAATCCTCCAATTAACAAGCTGATTTTACACACATCCTAGTTATTATGGGTAATGCTGAAATTTCAGCACTGAGTTTTACACAGCCTAGTTAACTGCGACACTGATGCAACCTATTGGTTGATTCATACACATTGTACGAATGCGTTGCTGTAAAGTGGGTCGGACCTGCTTGGTTTTCTGAACAGCGAGAATGAAGGCGCTGTCATCAACCAGGGTCTCCAGCTCACGGAGGAGAGACAAATTGGTGGTCCATCCATCCCCGATCCTCTGGTGATCAAAAACGAAGGAAAAGAAATTGAATTCCTGAATGCCATTCCTGCAAAAATACTAATTGCCAAAAAAAATAATAATGATGTGATGATAAGTACATGTAAAGTAACTGCAAGCAAGGGAAAGTAATTGTGCATGAACACGTAGAATGACTTCTTCACCCAAAATTTCAGGAACACAGAAACAAAAAGCGACAAAAGTGTACACGTAGGTTGCCAAGGCAGAATCTAATGTCAGGCTATTACTGTAGTACTAATACCGTGCATCTATGGCTTGGAATTGTGAAGATGAGTGCTCAAGCCTTACAGGAATGTTGCATTTTGGTGCAATTTTACAACAGTGAATTTGTTAATTCTCTAAAGCCAGGTTTCATTATTGGAATAATTTAAAAACGTCACCTCATCGGTCTCAATGCTCTTGTAAACGATTTACATATGAAAATGTATGCAGGCTAGGGTTACAACAGAATGGATCCAATAATTTGATTCCATTTACATGCTGTCAACACACATGGGAAGTTTGCACAAACATCCTTACACCTGAGACACATGATATTTTGATAACATTCTTTAACCCTCCTTTGGTTTTACAGCACAAATGTGCACAAATGCCCACAGTCACTGGTGAGCATGTAGTTTCTATATGGCACTCAAACATGCACAGGTTCAGTGTGTACACAGTTGGTTGCCAGCACAAAATGACCCAGGGTCTTTTGTGCAGTCCTCTCCACTGCATTTGGTTTCCTGCACTGTTATGCACATGAAACAGTGAAGCACAGTTGTTGGGCAGCACAAAAGTGCAAT